TAAATGTATAAACATCACACAACATTATTTATAGCTTTCTATTTTACATGGACAGCCAAAGAATAAATATTTAAATTTAAAATTTTGTAATTGCATCAATTGTGTTATCAATTATACAAAACTATATCATCTAAATTTAAAGAATTCTTTCAAAGATGAACCAAGGGATAAGAAGAATTCACTGATAGATTTAAATGTTGATGGTTCTTCTTTCAAATTTGTAGAAGGAATAGAAGATAAACGTGATGAATTACGTTCTGTAAAGTGTACATTTTCTTTATCTGTAATATCCTGTAAAAAAGAAAATCCATATGAATTAATATAGTAATCAACCTTCTTATATTTATACAACTTGATACTGAATCTTACATAATAGATATTTTGTTTGTAAGACTTAATATGTTCAAAATTATTGTTATTTTTAAATCTTTTAAATTTCCTTAACAGTAGTAAACAATTATTTTCTGATTGCATATCTGCATCTGCTTCATTGTCTTTCTTGAGATACATTATACTTGATCCATCTAAATTAATCTGATAATTTAACATTTGTTTAGAATTTATTAGAGTACAGAAATATGTTTTAAAATTAGTGAAATATGTGATATAAACCTCAGTTTCTTCATTTGGTCTTTTTCGTTTGCCAGCAACTATTGGTATATTTTCAGATGGAAATAGATTAAGATTATTATGTCTTAGTGGTTTCCTTGAACTGCTATCTTTTCTTAAAGTTTGTCTACATTCTGCATACTAAAATAATTACATAATTCAAATTAGTTATTAATTATAATATTTACATAGCAGAAGATATCATCTTTTAATACCTTTTTTATAGAATTTCGTATTGCTTCCATCCATAAATTGCTATCATCTTTTTCAGAATAGAGTAAAAGCGTTTCAGTTAAACAAGTAACTCGAAACAATCCTCCACTCAAAACAGATTCAATTTTACACTTATTTAATGGTAAAACGCAACATATAGTTAATGAGTTTTGTGGATCACCTTTACAATACAATAAAATATCATTTAAAAGAACGAAATATCTTCTATATGTAGAACTTCCGCGTCTGGACACTCTCATTAATGCTCCTTGTTTAATTAATTTTCTACCAGGTTTTACCAAATTAATTGAGTTTACAATACATTTTTGGAGTTTCAATAAGTTTTGTGTTTCTTCATGTTGTTCAATTAAAGTATTTATATGTCTTGCAGCTTTTTCAACTTCTACTAAACATACTATAAAAACAATATTTATACGTTGAAATAATACTGTTTTATGCTATAAACAGATTTAATTCTCATTTCATAGTTACCTTGTAGGAGATTATATTCCTTATGTTTATTGGGTGTATGTTGTAAGACTTCTTGTAATAGTAATTTATATCTAGGTACCCTTTGTATTGGTGTAATTAATAATGAAGGTAATTTTCTACCAACTTCTGGTCTTGTTTCTTGATTATTAATAAAATCTTTGAATGGAAGATCATTTTCTTGTTTAGTCTAAAATGAGACATTTTTTTGTATAGACATAAGTTTTGACTAATAAATTAATGTAATAAAATGTACCTGTAGTAAGGATAAAACTTGCTCATAATCATAAGCATAAACAGAATATAACTTAAAAAATGGAGCAAGTTTATAAAATGCACCTGCAATATTTTGTGGATCTTCTTTTAATTCTTTTACCAATTCTCCACTAACATTATACAATGTTTTTATATTTTCAGATACTGTTGAAAGTAAACTGTGGTCAAGTAATTTTCTTTTAAACATAGGTTGTATGAAATACTGAAAAGATGTTGACATATTTAAATGTGTCTTATTTTGTTCTTAATATTATAATACTTTAAATATTATTAAGTACATATAATAAATATGAACAAAGGATACCTCCATTAAAATTTCTAATTGTCGTAAATAAGTAACTTCTGTTGTTAA